CTAGACTGGACTATTGCAATGGTTTATTATCTGGGTGTCCAAATACTTCTTTAAAACGTCTTCAGTTGATCCAAAATGCTGCTGCCAGAGTCTTAACTGGAGTTACTGGGAGAGATCATACCTCTCCAGTTTTAGCTTCTCTCCATTGGCTCCCTGTCAAATCCAGAATAGAATTCAAAATCTTACTTCTAACCTACAAAGCTCTCAACAACCTAGCTCCATCTTATATTACAGATCTTATTGTTCCATATTTTCCTAACAGAGCACTTCACTCTCAGACTGCAGGTTTACTTGTGGTTCCTAGAGTTTACAAAAACAGAATGGGAGGCAGATCTTTCAGTTATCAGGCTCCTCTCTTGTGGAACCAACTTCCAATCTCTGTCCATGAGGCTGACACATTATCCAGTTTTAAAACTAGGCTTAAGACTTCCCTTTTTAATAAATCCTATAGTTAGGGTCGGCTTGGGTTTCCTGAGCTGTCCCTTAGTTCTGCTGCTATAGGCTTAGACTGCTGGAGGACAAACTGACCACAATTTTCACTCTACTACTGTCTTTACTTACTCTGCTCAACCTGTTTTGTATTTGTAATTATTTTTTCTATCCTTAACGGGGGGTTTTTTTGTCTTTCAGATACACCTGGACCTATTCTGGACTTACCATTCTGTGTTCGTCTGTCTCTCCTTCCTGTCCTCTCAACCAGCCGGTCAAAGCAGATGGCCGCTTGTCCTGAGCTGGTTCTGCTGGAGGTTTCTTCCTTTTAAAAAGGAGTTTTTCTTTCCACTGTCTCCACTGTGCTTGCTCAGGATGGGAGACTGCAATGAAGCCAAGATTCAACTTGTCTGCTGGATTCCTTAGATAGAGAACTTTACTAATTGGCTTTTATATGAATGTTTCTGTAAAGTGCCCTGAGACAACTTGGTTGTGATTTGGCACTATATAAATAAACTGAATTGAATTGAAACCCCCTCCCCTTCCAGCAAGGCCTTGTCGAATATTTAACCCTTCCACTGCTGCGCTCTTTTCATCTGCTTTTACTAAAAACTCTCTCTCAGTCTCTGAATCCTCTTCCATCAACACCCATGAGCTAGTCACTCTACATCAAGAGACCTATGCTAAGGTGCTTGACCTAGTTGCCCCATTAATAATTAGGCATCCAAAGCGCACTCCACACCCTTGGATGAATGAGATCACTCGCATAGCCAAACGTAAATGGAACAAGGACAAACTTCAGGTTTCATTTATCATGCTAAAATCATGTTACAAAGAGTACCAGGCCACTGTTAAATCAGATAAAAACCATATTTCTCCCAAATGATTGCCTCAAACAGCCACAATCCCCGCGTTTTTTCAACACCATTAACTCCATTTTAACCATGCCTCTGTCTGCCAACAGGGAGGTCTCTGCAGTTACGTGTGAGGACTTTGCCAGTTTCTTTGTTAAAAAGGTTGAGTCGATCAGGTCACTGATTCCTCACAGCAGACTCCTCTGTCTTTGTCCCCTCCACATCAGTCTTTAACCAGTTTGAACCATTTCCCTCTCATTTCTAAATGACGTCATTGGTCATATGTAACCCTCAGGTTCCCCTGCTGACCCCATCCCTGCATCGTTTTTTAAAACAGGTCCATTGGACCCTCTGTTCTTGACATTATAAACAGCAGTATGGCTACAGGTGTAGTTCCTGACGCTTTTAAACATGCAGTGGTAACTCCTTTAATAAAAAAACCCAGACTTGACCCTTCAACCTGCTCAAACTTCAGACTCATCTCCAAACTTCCCTTTCTCTCTAAGATCCTGGAGAAAATAGTTTTCACTCAAACAAGTTCTTGAGTGGAAATTCTATTCTTGAGATCTTTCAGTCTGGCTTTAAGAAACTACACAGCACTGAAACAGCCTTAGTTAGGGTCTGCAACGACATTCTTCTGGCAAATGACTCTGGTCAGTCTGTAGTCCTGGTACTCCTTCACCTTACCGCTGCATTTGATACTGTGGACCACAGTATCCTTTTATCCCAGCTAGAACACTGGGTTGGGATTACTGGTGCAGCGTTAGAATGGTTCCATTCATACCTGAGCGACAGGAGTTTCTGTGTTAATTTTGCTAACACTCTATCTACTTCAGTGCCTCTTTCCTGCGGGGTTTCGCAAGGCTCCATTCTTGGACCCCTTCTGTTTTCTTTGTATCTCCTCTCCTTAGGGTCTATCCTGAGGAAACATGGTCTTTCTTTTCATTGTTATGCTGATGACTCTCAGATTTATCTGCCGTTAACACCTAACAGTGCCTCCTGCATTCGCCCTTTGTTAAAATGTATTGATGACATCAAGACTTGGATGGCTGCGAACTTCTTGAGTTTTAATGATCATAAGACTGAGGTCATTGTGTTTAACCCTAGCTCTGCCACTGATCCTGCAAACCTGGACTCCCTTCAGCCATATCTAAAACAGTCTGTTACCAATCTCGAGATAGTTTTAGACTCGGACTTTAAGTTTAATAAGCAGATAAATTCTGTTCTTCAAAAAAGCTTCTTTCAGCTAAGGCAGATAGCTAAGCTCAAGTCAGTCCTGTCCAGATCCGACCTTGAAAAATTTATCCATGCATTTATTACAACCCGGCTGGATTACTGTAACTCGCTTTATGCTGGGGTCAGTCAGGTCTCTCTCTCACGTCTCAAGCTCGTCCAAAATGCTGCAGCTCAGCTACTA